ATGTGCACGTTGGTTCGTTACCATCTTGCTCCCATCCTGGTCAAAAACGGCATTCGTTTAGTAAGCTGGAAATGTCATGGCCTGGCTTGAGTCGTGCGTTGGCCTGTGAATGTCCTCAAGTTGTTTGGTTTCGATGGCAAATTGAAAATACAACAGGTCCAACACTGCTGTCGCAAGACAGCTGGAGGCAATGTGCCAAAATGTGCATGTTGTTTCGTTACCATCTTGCTCCCATCGCTGGGTTGGCTTATTTTGCTCTTGTTCAGACACAGCTTTCGTCTATATATAGTAAGGTAGAAATGTCATGTCTTGGGTTGTGCTTTGGCCTGTGAATGTCCTCAAGTTGCGTTGTTGCCATGGCAGATTGAAAATACAACAGGTCCAACACTGCTGTCGCAAGACAGCTGGAGGCAATACGCCAAAATTTGCACGTTGGTTCCTTACCATCTTGCTCCCATCCGTTGGGTGGCCCTCCCTGCCAGTCACAAGCTTCACAAGGTTGTTGATACATGCCTGATAATGCAAATGACGTGGCTTGGGTTGTGCTTTGGCCTGTGAATGTCCTCAAGTTGTCTTGTTGCCATGGCGGCTTGAAAATACACCAGGTCCAACACTGCTGTTGCAAGACAGCTGGAGGCAATGTGCCAAAATGTGCACGTTGGTTCGTTACCATCTTGCTCCCATCCTGATCAAAAACGGCATTCGTTTAGTAAGCTGGAAATGTCATGGCCGCGCTTGAGTTGTGCGTTGGCCTGTGAATGTCCTCAAGTTTTCTGGTTTCGATGGCAAATTGAAAATACAACAGGTCCAACACTGCTGTTGCAAGACAGCTGGTGGCAATGTGCCTAAGTGTTCACGTTTGTTTGTTACCATCTTGCTGGCATCACTTTGTTTGCTTGGCTCGGCTAAGCGGCTAGTCTCATTGTCAACACGGCCAGCATTTCTCAAGATAGGATGGTTGACATGCCCAGTTGCACACGAGAATTTTTCTCTGTGTCCTGGCCTGCGATGTGTTGGATTCTAGGCTGTTCAGATGATCAATCGATTAACCACCCTGGCTTTTGTTCGTTGGTGGATTTGCTGCAGAAGTTGGGCCGTGGAGTAGTACGACCGCGTCAGCGCTGGGAACCACAAATGGTCTTTTTCTTCACTTCTGAACGCACATAGCAGATGGCACAACACACTGTATGCAAAATGTGGATTCCCATCTCAGATGTTTGTTTGGTCGCATACTCTTGAGGAAATGGACCATGGACCCTTGAACGACCCACCTCCAGAACCATTTCTTCATCCCCAACGACCCCTACATAGGGTGCCCAGGGAGGGCTGGACTGACTAAGGCCTTTTGCCAGCCACTCGAAGAGGCTGTTGAGACCTTTCTGAGTGAGCTGAAGCACCACGAGAAGCACCAGCAGGCGTTTTTTGGGGTTCGGGCGTTTGAAGGCACCCTCGGTGGGCCTAGGTGTTGACACTATGAGCGCCACTACAGGAGACCAAGCAACAGAGGTCGGTCTAGTTATAACATCACAAATATATATATATATATATATATGTATATTTATATGTATATATACACATGTGTGTGTGTGTGCGCGAAGAGCCATGCTCACGCGCTATTTCATCAATACCCTCCTTTTAGGTGCCATGGGGTCTCCGAAACTGTTTTGGAATGATGGCTTTGGAATGGGAAAATGAATTTCAGAACCCATCAGGAATTGGAGGGACTTGAGAGTGGCCTGGGCAGTTGAAGCGGCTGTGTTTGAAGATCACTGTAGCCTTCAACTCGGGCAACACATGTTTCCATACTTCGTTTTGGGGGAACCACTCAGACCTGTAATGGGTGGCCCGAAGATTTGAACTCCTTGAAGGCTGAACATGTTTGGTTTTGTGGGCCATCCTTACAAAACAATAACAAACAAACAAGTGAGGCACCATCAATGAAGCGCCTAGGCATTTGTATTCTGGCCCGTTTGGGGTCGGTTGAAGCTTTAATGCACCGTTTTTCATCCTTGGCACTCATGCTCGGAGTGAGGGCTTGGAGCCCGACTTGTTGCTCTCATAGCGGCTATGGCACTCAGTAGCGGTGGGTGTCACATTTGATCAAAATGATCAAAATACAAAATTGCGAGTGGAAACCTCTTCTTCACAGTTGACTGGGGGTGGTTTAGGATGTGCACTTGCCCAGGATCTTTGGGAGGTGTGGGCCCCAGCTCTTGAAGAGAAGTGCATCAGCTGGGGACCTATGCCTTCCTGGTGCTTTGGTTGATCGGCATTGAACTTGCCGAGCATAAGCAGCATAGGCTGCAATTGTATCTCTCGCTGCTTGTGATTTGACAAGAACCAGTGCTCGACCCATGGAATGTCCAAGTCATTCATTGTTGACCTGAGACTTCCGAAAAGTACTTGCCCCGTTCGGTGATGATTCGTCCGATACATATGCTGGGTGATCGAAGTATTGCTACCTCGCCGATCTTACAAAACAAGTCGAGATGTCAGACTCCTTTGTTCAGTGTAGATTGAGAATCCTTTTTCAGACCAAGTCGGATCAGCTCGATGTCGTACGGAGGCCCTTTGGAATGGCCAGGGTGAAGCTTTGATGTGGCCCGACCGCCCAGAACTGGGCCTTTCGCAGCATCAGTGAAGAACTCCACAGAATGAATACCCCAGTGGCATCCTGCTAGATATATAGAATGCTGGACCCACATTGGGGTGCAACATTGCAACATGTTTACACAGCAGAACATGTCGTGCAGATAGAGGGCTTAGGAAGATATCCCGGGAACTGATGCCTACAGTAGCCGTGATGCCCCGCCAAGTGGTCTAGGCCAGAAGCGTAAGATATGGTTTCATGTGCCTCCTCGTAGAACCGTTTGCAATCAACGGGCGAAGACGTGTTGAGACAGTTCCCTTTGAGATGCTGATTTTAAGACTTATGCCATCATAGGCACCAGGAACAATGACTTCATTGCAACAATCACGTGGTGTGCTTTACCGCGCATGACAAAGGGTCACCAGGGACGTGCCCTCGCACAGCAACAGGCACTGTGTGCCTTTGGTCCGAAGAGGATCTTGGACAGCAGGCGTCGGAAAGAATTTGGGTAGAAGTGGATCAGATCAAGTTCATTTGACAGGTTAAGGGGTGAGATTGAATCCATGCAGTGTGGTCGACGCAGTGGTCGAGTCAGTCATAGGTGGATGAAGTGTTAGCGATGTTTGAGTTGCGCATGAATAAGTTCTTTGAATTGCTCATTCTCCAGGGGCTATTTCTAACCTTCAGCCAGGCGTCCTTCCTAAACAGAATCCGTCTCGCAAGAGCTGTTCTTTGTCGCCGCCATTGGGCTCTTTCAGGGGCGATGTTGACCGCCTTATTGAAGACTGCAGTGGAAGAAATCGCCTGGGAGGGCCCTCCGGGAGTTTCCTGGCCCAAACTCTTGGAGCGGCTCAAAGAAAGCGGCTCGAAGGTGGACGAACATGTGAGAGACTTTGCTGCAAAAGTTTTTGGCGGAACAAGTAACAAGGGCATTACTACTATAGCAGCAAAGTGCATCGCTACTAGTAAGGATGATGGATTGAGGTCTGTAACTTGCCCTCTTTTTGAGGTCTGACCAACGGCTCACCTTTCATATGGCTCACCGCGTCGGGTTCTGTCCATGGACCGCTCGTTTCCTGTGCCCGTTCGCTGTCCCAGGAAAGGCCTTGTGGGCAGAAGTCTCCTCCAGCAGCAAGATTCTCCTCCGCGGCAAAGCCGGCAAGAGCGTGTCGGGCAGGGGAAGCAAGGTGCCAGAACCCAGCGCCAACCAGCAGATTGTTTTAGATCCTTGCACGCAACCAGAACGCGCCACGCGTTTTTGGACGGTTTGGCCGTTTGGCCGGCCTCTAAAAAGGTGTGAAGTACTTTATTTGGGTGAAGTGAATCAAGCCACATCAACGCACACCCATTTTGCCTGTTAGAACTTGGCCCCCTTCCTATCAGCAGACGGATGACGCTGGGGCTGCGAAAAGGAATCAAGATGTCACGCCGTGTGTGTCCTGTGTCTTCCTTCTCATTATGAAACATTTGTGTTGACCAGAATCAGAAGATCAGTGCCCTTGGCAGTCCGGTTTTTGGGGTGTGCTTACTTTTCTGCCACCTTTCGGCCCCGGTCGCGGTTTTGTGTGTGCCCCGGCCGAACATGTGCCCCGTTCAAAGTGGACTTCCACTTCGACACTTTCAGAAACACCAATAGTTACTATATAACTGGTCCCGGACCAGCCTCTTCTCTCAACGTCTTTCCACGATGCTTCAGGAGTAATTAAAATATCATATCTATATATATAGTCGTGTGTATACACATTTATATATATAATATTATATATGGTCGAACATATATATATATACATATAGTGCTGTATTAATTAATATATAAATATATATATATATGTGTGTGTATTAATGATTGATTGATGGCAGCACAATGCTTCGAACACTACTTCCTTGTCAGACGATCCGCTCGGGGTTTCTTCGCGGGGTCCGCGAGTCGACTGGTCGGGACCCGCGGGACCGGGAGACCGACCGGGAGACCGGGAGCGGTTGAATGGAGAGAGGCCTGGGATTGGTGATGGACTCCGTGCGGCTCAGATAGTCCGTTAGTTATCTCTATGTATGCCATGGGTGAGGTCTTCCCCGTGCGTTCTAAGGTGAAGTCTACTAGTCACTAGTCTCATCCATTTGGGAGTCCATTTGGGATTTGGACGCACATTTTGGATGGCCACATCGTCGCCCATTACCATCAAAGAATCCAATGAGGCGATGTCGCTTTTTGCAGACTTACAGTGAACAAACTGGCCAAACTTGCCCGGCAGCTGACATGGCTTTCCACACTGCTTGACCCGCTTTCTCCACCAGCTTTTGCACAAAACCTCCCAGATCTGGCAAATTCAACACCAAGCGTCTTAGTATTGCTTTTTTTGCATAATAAGGTTGACCCACTGGTGACACAAAACATGCAATTCATTGGAAGGTTTTTTGAACCATCTTGTTCGCCTCTTCGGGACGTCTTACACTCCAGCGGTTCATCAGGAACAATAGCTAAGTCCTTTTTCATTTGGCGACGTGGTAGCCACTGTGTGACCACTTTCTGTACCCAAGGGGCAGTTGTCCGCAAGTCGTACGTGTACGTTCCCACCGGTCCACGACTTTGATAATCTTTGATCAACACCTATTGGGTTACCATATGATGCGCCATACGCCATGATATGACTTTGCAGCTAGTTATGCTCATGTCCACCCGGGACGGACCTTGTACAACTAGCCAGGATGTGCCACAAGAGGTGCGCCAACGGCTGCTGTTGCTGGATGCCCACCCGGACTTAGCCACCAACGAGCTCTCCGTGAAGGCGCTTCAGTTGGTGGCGAAAGCCCGGCAGAGAGGATGCTCTGGGGAACCATGGCGAGTGATCGAATGATAGAGTGGGTGATTCATCGCACACAGACATGCGTGGCAGATTTCTCATGATTTCTCAGTATATGTGTTGCTCGATGTTGCTCTCAAGTACACACACACACACACACTCACCAACATGAAATGATTGTATTCTTGCCACCACAGACAGTATAGACTTACGGTTGAAATGTTCCATGGTCAGCCACAACCTATATTGACCTATTTAGTTATATAGTTAGACCTACCTGAAGACAATTGAAGGTTTGGATGCTGTTCGCTGTCGCCTTTTAAGGAGAGTTTGTCTGCCCAGTTGGGCGTGAGCAGCCGGGATTTGCCGCCTTGGATGTGCAGGAACACTTGTGCAAAACGTGGAGAAACACCCGAAGGCCTACAGCTTTCACATGCGTTGTTCCCCAAACAGTGTGGACACATGTGCACACACTTAGGGGTTCTTGCGGTAGGAGTAAAGCAGCTGATGCTTAGATCGCTGAAGCGCGCGGCGTGTCCGGCTAATTCGCTGCTATTTACAGTACATTCATGCCTCTCAAAATCCTCGAAGTGCATTTCAGACTGCGCAGGCTCGCAAAATCTGGGTGGCGGCGACGAGTGCGTGTCGCGACTGCGCTCTCGTTGTGGTGCCGTGCGCATTTTCACACATGGTGGTCACTTTTCGTGGCAGGCGCAAGGGAAACCTTGCGTTTTGGTGGTCCAAAGTCGACTTTTCGTGACAGGCGCGAGCTGTTTCAATCCGAAATGCAGTTTTCGTGGCAGGTGCAGCACTTTGGACATGGTGGTGGCCGTCGAGGAGCTCAGATTTCGTGACAGGTGCAGTGAATCGTGACTTCTGGACATGTGGCTCGTGGCAGGCGCAGCACTTGGTGAACCTCGAAGTGCAGATTTTGTGGCAGGCACAGCACTTGGTGAACCTCGAGGTGCAGATTTCGTGGCAGGTACAGCACTTGGTGAACCTTGAAGTGCAGATTTTGTGGCAGGCACAGCATTTTGTGACCTCGAAGTGCAGATTTCGCACCTCGAGGTGCAGACAGATTTCGTGGGCACAGCGCTTTGTGAACATCGTTGTGTAGATTTCGTTCCAGGCGCAGCACTTTGCCAACCTCGAAGTGCAGATTCGTGTAGATTTTGTGGCGCAGCATTGCGTGGTTACGCACCGGTGTGCTCTGGTGACTGTGCTCTCAGATGTGTGCTCTCTGGACTTCTCGACCTCTAGCTTGCTCTCCTATGTATGCTCTCTAACCCACTTTCCCGGCATCTAGACCTCTGTCTTCTTCAGATTCTTGTTGCTAGAGTGAGCTGGCGTGGTTAGATCCAGCTATTCTTTTATGTGGTGCACCTGGCGTGGTTACACCCAGGTGCGCTCTGGTCACTGTGGATTGCGAAAGCTCCGGTGGATCCACGGACATTGAGTTCCACCGCAGTTCCGCTCTCACTCACACTCACACTCACACATGCTCACACTCACACTCACACTCACTCACTCGCTCTCACTCTGTCACTCTCACGCTGACACTCACTCTCGCTCTCTCACTCTTTCACTCTTTCACTCACACTTACATACACACACACACTCACGCTCTCTCTCTCTCACACACACTCACACACACTCACTCACTCTCTCACTCACACTCACTCACTCACTCACTCACTCCCTCGCTCACTCAATCACTCACTCACTCGTCACCCACTCACACACTCCCACTCACACTCACCACCATCACATCTTTGCACCCCAATGCGTTTAAATCTCTAGACTCTAGACTTTCTGCTTATAGACTTATAGACCTCACACACACTGCTTGGGGTCTCTTGCATTTTGTCCTCCATGGAGCACTCCCTGACTTAAAAATCGTGGAAGTGGAACATGAGTTTTTTTCCACTTCCATGATTATTTCAGGGAGTGTCAGAGTTTTTTGGTGGTATTTCCGGCTGTTTCTCCTGCAGATTGCCTTTGGTATTATGGGGCAACTTTTGATTCCACCAAGTTTGTAACAAAAGATGGGAATGCTAGCTAGACCACTCAACCGCGCAATGTTGATCCTAACGCATTAGCGTTCGTTCTGCCCATGCATGTCACTGGCGCGCCCAGCCCTGCACCCTTTTCGCTTCCCTTCAAGTTTCAGGGCCCAGCAAGCCCCGTGAGTGAGGTTTTATCCAATGGAAGGCTTGAGAACTGCGGGCCTTTTGGTTGGCGTGGTTGCACTGCACACAGGGAAAGAAGGCAAAGAATCTTCGGGCGCGATTGCGCAACTGAGCAGAGCACAAGGAGCAAGCTTTGAGTTTTGGTCCTTTTGTCTCCCGGGTTTGGCCACCAAGTTGGTGTTCCTTGGCCTTGATCCCTCCTCGCCTGGTGGGGTGGATTCAGGAAGGACGCCGATGCTGCCGAAAAAACAAGAACTCTCCGGGTGTCCCACTCAGCGTCGCCACTGGCCCTGGGTGCAGCTGTGCAAGCGCAAGTCCACGGAAACCATTTTGTTTTCTCCCGTTTCTTTGATCCAGATGCTCGGGATGATCAATCGTTTTGTTTTTTTGCGGGCATGGTGCTGTGGATTGATTATTCCATCCAGTGGTGTGTTTATTCTACCTATGCTAACTGCATGGGTTATATAATAGTTATATACATGTTGTACACATAATATCTATATGTTTGGTTTGTTTATCGGCCTCCTTGAGACGGCTGTGGAGCCGTGACGGCTTTGGGCTTATGAAACCGTACGGGCATCCGTTTTTCCTAGGGTCCTAGAGGATTAGTTGGTCGGCGTTGGTGGGTGAGCCTGGCGCTGGCAAGTTCAGGACAACGTGGAACAGACCCAGATCGAGGTGCTCCTTCAGGGTTCATCTTCCAGGCTTAAAAACCAAATTTTACATGCGCTGAAGATCAACTCCTCAGTGGGACTCTTGACAAGAATTGATTTCAGATCCTGTAGATGAAGACGGCTCAAAGAACTCTCCCGCAGCAACGAGAAGGTTTGAACACAGTCGTGTTTTCGACTTCTTCAGCCACACTGTTTTTGATGTGCATTCATGTTGTTTCGTCCTTGTTGGTCCATGCTGAGAGAAACTGCCCAGAAGCTGCAATATTGAACATCCTTGAAGCTCAGTGGAACATTGCCAAACAAAAAGACCAAACTGCCAAACACATTCCTAATCCTCAAGCACAAACACCAAAGATGTTTTTTCTCTTCTTTGTCCAATGATGCTTGGGATGACCACCAGTGGTGGCCACCGGTGCCCGCCAATCTCAGGCTTTGAAAATGACCTACGCTCGGTGCTGGCGGAATCGCTGGAAGAGACCTCACGGCCCGGCATGTCCCGTCGAACCGCCCCTCGTCTTTCGAACTGGGGAGGGAGTTGACGGTGTGGAGCTCCGACAGCTACACAATGAGATCATTTGACAATCTGACATACACACATCAATATGTATATATATATATATTATATACACATGTCATGTTCATACCTTGACCACTGACCACCAGTAATGTAAAGACCCCAAGACTTAATAATTACAGTACGTGAACCTGCTGTGTTCTGATATGTTCTGATCAGGTACATGCATGGTTGCAATGGAGGTTCAAGACCCTGCAGATAAGCACCCCATGGTAGAAGAGTTTGCTTTATTGTTTGAACTGGTGGGGGCGGGGCTGGAATCAATGACCATCCGATGAAGAGGCACAAACAGATGCAATTTCTGCAAAGACTTGGATTGTATAGAATCTAATGCTCCAGGCATGAGCAGCGTTATTGTTCTGTTTATATAGGCTCACCATCGGTGAGGACTTGTGAGGACTGTATCTTTCAACGAGGGATCAGATGCGGAGGTGATTCTCCCACCTCCTCAGGAGTTCGATAGACATTGCATTGCATACAGAAAAGTATAGATATTTGCCATGTCAGCTGCCGCATATATATATATATTATATACATATTAATATATATATGGCATATAGAAGGAACAGGAATTTCAAGCGGCACCTGTGGTCTCCTTTGCTAGTATAAAGGTATGATAGCTATGAGGTTGTGGAAGGCTATTAGCGGCTAAGGTTTCATCATCAACAGGTAGCAGGTAGGCAAGGAAAGAGAGGGAGGGAGGAGGGAGGGAGAGAGAGGCAGAGAGAGGGAGAGAGGGAGGGAGGGAGGGAGGGAGGGAGAGAGAGAGAGAGAGAGAGAGAAAAAAAAGAGACAGACAGAGAAAGATACCAAGAGAGTTTTGGCTGATACCATGGAAGGCCGTTTCCTTAAGGGCTTGAGCAATGGAAATTACAACACTATTGGTTGCCACTGTCGCCCAGCTTGATGAGGAGGAATTGGGGTGCATGGTGAAGAGTAGAAGTTCTGTCAGAGATTTGAAGAAGCTCTTGGCCCGTCGGGTTGGATACCCACGATTTCCACAAAGACTCTTGAGAGGAGACATGGGCAAGCTTCAGGATGATATGCCTGTCAGAGGCTTATCGGCAATTGGTAATCCTCGATCTGTGTGCGCCTAAAGAGGTTGGGAGGCACTACGCCTTGCCTGCAAGAAGAACCGAGTTGTTGACGTTGAAGAGTTGCTTCAGAAACCACTGGATCCCAATGGGAGTGGTGCAGAAGACACTGACGCTCCACCTGTGTGTCTTGGGGCACGACGGGGCCATTTGGCAGTCGTGCAGTTGTTGCTCGAGGCTGGATGCGTCAAAGCAAAATGGGGTAACCAGCTTGATCGCTGCAGCATTGAAAGGCCGGCGTGATTGTTACTCGAGGCCGCAGCTGACATGAACGCGGTGACTCTAGATGGTGATACGGCCTTGATGGCTGCAGCTTTGAATGGGCACGTGAAATTAGTACGGTTGTTGCTCAATGCTAGGGCTGACATGAATGTGACAACAGCGGACAATTCAACCACCTTGCTGGGTGCAGCAAGGGTCACATGGAAGTAGTGCGGTTGTTGATCGAGTGAGTGGGACAATGGCCTGTGGGACTTGATGTTTGCAGCTTCCAATGGCCACTTGGAAGTGGTGGAGTTGTTGCTCGAGGCTGGAGCTGACAAGAATGCAGCAGAAAGATGGGGCAACCGCTTTGGCGGCGGCTACGCTGAATGGCCTCCTGGAAGTGCTGCAATTGTTGCGTTCAACTTGCTAAGAGAGTACGAGCACGTTCCATGGCAGCTGCTCCACAGCTTGGCTGCGCCAAGACTAGCTCCAATGACCCAAATAAAGCATTCGAAGTAGCATCAGAGAAAGAGAGAAAGAAAGACAGAACAGAACAGAACAGAAAGAAAGAACGCAATAAAGAAATAAATAAACATAAAAAAGAAAGAAACAAAGAAAGAAAGATAGCGCCAAATTCAATATGATTCAATCAGAGACTGACGGTTCATTTTTCGTCTATGTGACTCATAGAGAGCCTGGCACTTCTTCCGATTCCTGTGGCCGTTCACATCTTTTTCAAGGCAAAGGGCTCCGACCATATCCTCAGAAGGTGGTCAACCCCCCACACGCACCCCAACCACCTTCTAAGAAGGTAGTTGGAGCCCTAGGCAAGCTACTACCATTCCTTTCCCCAATGTTTTTCCTTGCACTTTTTGGAGGTTTCTCCTTACAAGCCTCCTTTCAGATCGTTCAGGCAGTCCTTGAGAACGGTTCCGAAATATCATCTCCCAGCCTGTAGAGGTGGATGATGGCCAATGCAGGCAAAGGCTTCCACCAAAAGTTCTGAAGAGTTTCCCTTGGGCTGCCACCGAGTCGGGGCAGCCACTAAGCGGTTCAGACGTTTTGGAACCTGAATCTGTGGCAACTTATCAAGACGTTCTATACACGTTGTCAACCGGTCTTCCCTCACACAGTCTTGAATGTCTTCACTGCTAACTTCTTTTTGCAGCGGTTCCGGGCGTTTGGCGCGCGGTTTTCTTTCTATATGTTCAAGTCTTCTTTGGTTTAGGTCTAGTAAACAGTTGTTTGTGAACAGTACTTTCTTACAAGTATATATATATGTCTATCACGAAAGGTAGCTTGAGCTTGCTTTAGCAAAAATGTATTACAATCAGGAGTTGGGATTGTGCATTGAGTTTGGTCCTGTAAGAGTTGATTCTGTTCGTCGGGGGGGGGGGCCCCCCCCTGGATCAAACCCCCCTGCGCCGGTTCACGCCGTCATGGACTTTTACCAGGGTTGCTTGTGATTGCCTGCTACCTTTTGTTCACCCCCTCCTCTCTCAAGTATTATATCCTTCATGTTTGCAAGAGCATCAGTTCAAACGGTACTTTGATCTTTCAAAGGAAATCATGGCATTCAACAAGGTGAGTGCTTGTTTGCACAGATGTGTGAGCGCTTGTTCCATAGAGCCTTCCTCTCGATGATATGGGGAATCCTCCAAGAACAAGATCCTCCCTATTTGAACACAAGATCCTCATCTCCAAAGAAGCCGAATGCAAAAAGGCGGCCTAATGAAAGAGTTGCTCTTTTGGGATCCAAACGTTTGGACTTCTCCCAGCACCAGGTGCTGGGAGTTTCACCCACCGGTTTCCCCCTCGAGTCTGAGGTCAGCAAGATTTACATGCGCCTTCGCACGGAACTCGTGGCCTCCGGAGATGTGGAGTGCGTCCGGGTCTGGGACCAGCGCTCCAGGCACTTCCGGGACGCTCTGTGCATCCCGGGCACGCACCAACCGGGCGCCTCGGACGGACGGTGCCGGGAGGACGGCGCCGCATGGGGTGCTCGTAGCTGCTCGTGTTGTGGCCGAGGAGGCTCCGTGGTTCTTTTCGAACGGGCTGGATGTGGGTGTTTCTTTCTTCTACCGACTGGACATGTGAAAAACTCAAGACATATATTACATATATATATAGATATAGATATTGTATCGATCACTTTTGGTGACTGGACATTCTTCTCGAGTTGATGGAATCATTTATTATATTTATTGGATACCAGTGCTACGGAAGCCCCCCAAAGTGCTTGATGTTCCTTCCAAGCTCTCCAAGCACCAGACATTACTTGATAGTGACTGCTACTACTGAGTTCACCCAGTTCTTATATACTATAGACTGAAACATGTCGTGTGACGGGTTCTGCCCCCAGTGTGCCCAGGTATGTGATAGGTTTGGTATGTCTTGATCAGCCGTTCGTTCTCTTTTTGGCTACATAACTGCCCTCTTTCCCACACGCCCGCCTCAGGAGGGGACAGCGAGAAGGAGGTGCCCTTATTGGCCATCACAGAGGGCTCCTGGGACGTGCAAAGGGAAGAAATCGCGGAGCCACGTTGAAACCACCCGTTTCTTGGGCGAATGCCGTGTTTTCTTTCCTTGTCTTTGGTGACAGTGATGGACACCACAGGTCCTGTGATGGGTTGGCTTGCATACAGCTGGGCGCTGGAATCGGCCAAGGGTCACTCCAACAATATCAACTGCACTGAGATGCAGCAGTGGAGTCAAGAAATGGTTGCTCACCCTCAGCTGCCAAATGCTTAAAATCTTTCAATGTTGCAGAGATCACTGGCTTTTTGCGTACCAAGTCAAAGGCTCCTTTTGCGTTCGCAGCCCCAGAAGCCTCCTTGGCGCCGGAGTGAACTCCTTCAGGCCCAGAAGCCTCTTCGAGTTCGAAAGATTCCCACGCGACGCCCGGTGTGGGCGCCAATCACATTCCCTCCGTGCCATGGCAGCGAAGGGGGGGCGGAGTGGCTGCAAAGGACTGGGAATGAGCGAATCTGGATGATTTTTCAACCCTCCAGACATAAGACCTCTTCATATGGGGGGCTGAAACATAAGACATCATAATACTAATTGAACGATTCTACATGAGTCACTGCACAGGGGGCTGGGCACTAGCCTGGGCACTCATTTGCTGCGACCAAACACTCATCCCAACATGTTTACATCCTTCACCTCCAAGTCTCGTGTGATTTTCTTTCAGTGAAACTCTTTGGGCATGGCTGGGCTCCCCCCCGACCCGCTTGACCCGATGTGGTCCGAGCACCGTCGTAGCTGGGTCGCGGAAGGGGTAGACCTGATCTGGCCGGTGCATCATCAGACCAAATCTACGTTCCAGATCCATCCCCAATCTACACTTGAATACATTGAATTGACAGAAACCTTGGGGGGTGCACAGTGCGTATATGATGCGCACACTATATATACTTACCCGTCTGGACGCTTATGTCTCAAAGCTTCAAAGCTTCAGCACTCAGACCCGTCGAGCATCGCAATCATCCAACCAGGTCCAACCACAAGTAGTTTAGAGATTTTTAGAGTCTCAGATGGAAATGGAACTTGACATTCCACAAACTTGGGCGCTTAGGAGTCCCCAGAGCAGGCCAGTCCTTCCTTCAGCCGGGCCAACCGAGG